AACGCCCCAAAATATACCCTAAAATTTATTGAATTAAATATTCAATTAAACAAAATTTGTTTTGATTAAAATAAATTATTTTTGGGCTTTGGGTCGAAATAAAATATATATTGATATTCAATAAACATAATTGGGTTAAATCTCATAGAGATAAATCCAATCTGTTGACTTATTATGTGATCTTAATTGGGAACCTGAGTACAGACCCAAATTAAGAATAAATGAAGAAATTGTTTGTTATGTGAACTTTGAAATGATTTATTGAAATAAATCATGGAAATAAATAATATGAATTAAATGTAAGAACCTTTTTTTGAATAAGGGTCAATTAAACCAATTTTGACTCTGTCAAAGTCAACACCCAAAAATATGCTGTCAGAAAAAGTATAATGAATAAATATAAAAATTATATCGTTGGATAGAGTTTAATTTCACGATCGCAACGGTGCAAACGGACTTCAATTCGGAGAAAGTTGGTCCAAAAAGTGTGCCCCAACTGGAACCAAAATTGGTCCCAATCAGGGACTTGCGTCTGGAATCCTAGCAATCGCCGCTCCCTCCACCGAGACGCCAGAACGGAAAAGGATGTCACTACACCTGTGTCTTCTTCCTCTCCTCTCCACTATATAAACCTCTCTAAACTTCACCATTTTTCACCATTCTTCTTCCAAGAGATAGCTGAGAGTATAGAGAGTAAAGTATTGCATCGCCGGAGCAGTGAGATAGAGTTTCCGGAAGTTTCGCCGGAAAATCGTCAAAACCTTCCTTACGCTTCAAGGTAAGCTTGTTGATATATCTAATGACTAGAATGTTCGTATAGATCGTTTCTACGTTCATAAACGGTCGTTTGGTTGAGTTTTGTGTTTGACATGTTCGAAGAACCAAGAATCATAAACCTTGAATTTAATGTTAAAACTATGAATTAATGATACCAAAATGACCTATGAACATTAGAGAACATTTATATATAGTTTAATTGAAGTTTGGTGACTAAAAATGGAATTTCCGAAACTTGGCTCGAGGTTGAAGACGACACTGTTCAAAGTTACGCACAGTACGGTACCACTCTACCGCCCAAACGGTACCCAGGTACCGCCAGCACGGTAGGCTATGCCGTCCAAACGGTACCCTCCCTACCGTTCCACTGTGTTTTATTCACGGTGCCTGGTGGCGGTCGGTACTAAGGTACCGTGACACGGTACCTAGGTACCGTACTCGGTACCGTCCAGAACCTAATATTTTCCAGAAAATCCGAATTATGGACCCTTTAATCCTATTTTTAATACCAATCAGTTATAATTAATATAAACATGATTTCTGGAAATAAAAATGATGTTTTGATTAATACAAAGACTTTATGTGATGCATGACGGTAAGTTCGGGTGTTTACACTCGAAGCTAGGCCGCTATTTGCTATCGAACATTATGTTGATTGATGATTATGATGAATGATTATTATGATGATTATGGCTTGATGAAACCACTGATTAAAATGATTATCAAGAATTAAATTATGAATTGAAATGAATATGTTGATGATTATGAAATGATTTGGATTGTAAGGATATCTAGAAGAACTCTAAGATATACCTAGGTTGACTTTGGTTTCTAAGACTATCTAGAAGACCTCTAAGATAGTTTAGAAATAGGCTTTGCGGGTATAATCATGAGTATTCGGTGGCCTGGGTTAAAACGTACGTACGGGATCTACAAACCAAACTCGAGGAACTCGTTTGGGGATACCACCCAACCCGACAGTGAGCATTCCGCTGTTCGGTTTCTGGTTGGCCTTAATCGAAGGTAAGTTTAAGATTTTGGAAACCCTCCATCTTAAACTAGGCCTAGCTTAAGGATTATTTAGGAGTACCTTGAACTAGTAATAGTTTAAGAGTTGGTAAATATCAAATAGATTGGCCTTAAACTAGAATAGTTTAAGGATATTGTTGGATGACAAATGATGAATATTATATGATGAATGTTGAGTATGAATGATGAATACACGTGTTGAATGATTGAAAAATGAATGTTGAAAATTTTAAATTGATTACTGAATATCTGAACTGAACATTATGTGCATGATATCAAATGATATGATTATGAATTTAGATTCAATTTATGTGGATGTTCGACGCATTAGATATGCTTACTCAGCTTTACCGCTGAGCGTGTAGTATGTTTTATTTGCTACACGCAGGTCAATAGAATGATGTGACGTGATCCTGGAGGCAGACGGAGGCGAGATAGTCGGAATGGATGTGATGGTTTTGAATTAAAGAACATAAATAAGTTATGTTTATGGTTATGAATTGTTAAGCTTCCGCAATATTGAAAACTCTGTACTGTTTATGATATGAAAAATATTATTATGATAAATAAAAGTGTTTGAAATGTTTTAAATTTTACGATTACCAAGTTAATACTTTCGTCCGAAAAGGGCTGCAGACCTGGACGGATTAGGGTGTTACAAGCACATGACTGCATTTTCTAGGATTTGTGGAAGAAATAGCTTAGTATTTTCCTTTGTATGAGTGCCTTTAAATTTCGGCCATAGGCCTATTGTAATGCTCAGTTTTTATTCTTCATTTCAAGATAGAAATACACTTATTGTATTCTGTTTTCAAATCCTAATTTCTATATCTTAAGGTTGGTTTCCTTAAGTGTGAGTGTTAGGTTCTAGTTATTTAATTAAGTGTGTCATATCTTAATTAAATTCTAGATTCAAACCCCAAGTTAGGATAAGAGTGTGTAATATCTCTTAAACACCAACTTGGTTTATCCACCACTATTTTCTATCCATTCCTTTTCCCACCATTTCTATCCTTAATCTCCTTTCTTTTCTTATATTAAAAATACCAAAAGAACTCCTTCATCATCTCCATATATTTCCAGCCCATTCCCCCACAAAAAAAAACACCCTTCTTCCTGCCCAGAAAAACTGTACTGGAAATCGATTATCTCCACTTGCCTACAAATAAAGAGGTTTTTAACTATAAAACCCGGAGCTGAGATATAACATTTGGTATTAGAGCTTTGTGTTGAACATCCCTAAGGGATAATCTGCACACGCCTCCATCATCTCTTTGTTACTGTCATAAAGATCAGCCTCAACACCATCTCTCTTTTCTCTTCCTTCTTTGGTATTTTCGGCCAAAGAGAGCCCTAAAAACCACCCATCATTTCTTACCATTCTAGCTACTGCCTCATTCTCTTCCTCTTCTTTCACACCCTTCAAGATGTCAAACACCTCTGTAATCATCACCAATGAAGAGCTGTGGGCCTCAAATACAGAACTCAAGACCCAAGTGGAGTACTTGGCTAAGCAGATTGCTCAACTCACCAACAAATTCAAAATGAATATGATGAATACCCCTGAAGAAAGTAAAGATGAGCAAGAGGAAGACGTCCAATCAGGAGTTCCTTCTCCCACCATGAGGAGAAACAACCAAGAGAAGTCCCCCTCTGACTTCAAGGTCGAAATGCCAACCTTTGATGGAAAAGATGACCCGGATGATTTCATCGAATGGTTAGAGACGATTGAACGCGTCTTTGACTATACCGAAGTGCTGGAGGACAAGAAGGTCAAGCTTGTGGCCTTAAAATTCAGAGGCTACGCATCTACGTGGTGGACTAACACTACCACCAAGCGCAAAAGAGAAGGCAAAGCTGCTGTTCAAACATGGACCAAGATGAGGGCTTTATTGAAGAAGAAGTTCATTCCCACTCATTATATAAGGGAAAACTTTGCTAGGCTTCAACACCTAAGGCAAGGAAATC